ATGAGCCGGAACTCGGGGCCCGGGCCCAGCGACTCACAGGACGGGAAATCCACGGCGAGCTGCAGCATGGCTATCAGTATCCAAGCATGGCTTCCGAGGGAGCGGCCTGGCCAGCAGATGGACATGGAGCTGCATGGAGAGAGGACAGCAGTGAGTCACACCGGCCTGTGGGGACAGGGGCTCTGCTACAGGACCCTAACCCAGGGCCCTAACCTGGAACTGCTCAGCCCCAGGACCCACAGGGCACCCTGGCTGATAGTGGAGCCTTTCCCCGGAGGAGGGAGGCCCACAGGTCCCAGGGTCAGCCTGGCCTGGTGAGGCGGCTGTGACATCAGCCCCCACCGCCTTCCTCCACAGAGGACCTGGGTGACAGTCACAGGCCCGCTCATCCCAGCCAGCTCGGCTCTGCCCAGCACCACACACAGGGATTCCAGAGCAGCAAGAGCCACACAGCGGGGCACCAAGCCCATGGCCCTCCTCTGCGGCATGGATCATGGAGGACCCATCACCGATGCCACTCAAAGTTTGCTCTTGTCACCAACCTCACGTCTGAAAGTTAAAACGAACCCCCAAACTTCCAGGAGGCTGTGGCGGGGGTGGGCAGGGGTGCAGGGCGTGAGGCCCAGTGAGCAGCTGTGCCAGGCCAGCTCACAATGCACCCAGTGGTATTTTCTGGCATCACATGGTTTCAAAAGGACTGCAAGAGGGGTGTGCATGAGCCCATGTGTACGTGTGTAAGTGTACGGGCACAACTGCATTGGTTGGTGTCCATGTGCCAGGTGTGTGCATGCAATCTGAGTGTGTCCGTGTGTCAGTACCTGTGGGTGTAAGGCACTGTGCAAGGTGACAGTGTTGCTGAGTATCCCTGTGTGCACTCAGTGTGAGCACACACCTGTGTGTGTCAATATGTGACAGTAACTGAGTGCTGTATGTGCATGCCCCTCCCTGGCTGTCGCTGCCACCTGGGAATGAGCTGGCCGAGGGTCATCGTGTGGAGAAAGAGGCACTTGCCACAAGTGCTGATTACCAAAGGGACAAGTCTCCAGGAGTGGGGCCCTTGCTGGCATCAGGGCCCCTCTCATGCCACCACCTCCTCCCTGATCTCTGCATGCACTGTGAGAGTGCTCGGGGCAAGGAAGCTCTAGCCAGCATGAAACACCCTGCACACCAAGGGCTGCCCAGGACTGGCGAGGACGGGAGCCCTGGATCCTCTGTCCTCCCCACCTGCGGGTCTGGAGAGGATTTGCCTCGGGTTACATGGAGGCTGCTTGAGGCTCCCCAGCCACCCCCCCAGACCTCACTAGGCTTCATCAGGCCCTCCTGGCCCTTCCAGACCCCTCTGGACCTCGCCACCATCCCTAGCCCTCCCTCAGACCTACCAGGGCGGCTGCACCAAAAGGAAGGAGTGGTGAGGCCGCCTGTCATCAGCACTTGGAAAAATATTGCTCCAGGAAATGAAAACCACAGCACCTCAGCCCAGGCCTGCCTCCCGGCATAACTTTGCACACAGGATATTTCTGTGATTTTTCACCAATCATGGGCTGTAATTGGTTACCATAGAAACCCCCTCATTTCCAAGACACCCAGCTGTTACGCAGAAAACACAGCCATTGCAATGTGGCAGGGGAGGCGGGTCTGCTTCTCCTCTTCCAGTCCGGTTTGCTCCTTTTTAAGTAGAGCATTTGCTTAGAGGGAAAACAGAGCAGTGGATGAACAGAGGGCCGGCACCACCAGCGGTGAGGAGGACTGTTCAGGGCAGGAGCCCTGTGCTCTCGGGCATGCCCAGGTTGACACCAAAGGCCCCGTGGTTCCCCCGGCCAGCCTGGACCCAAGACACCGGGGAGGACTTCCTGATGAGGACACACGCAGGACCACCCACCCCTCCAGGGGCCCCTGAGCCCACAGGGACCTGGAGCCTCACTTCAGCTTCTGGCTGGCCTTGAAGCTGGTGGGAGCCAGGACGGCTGCTGTGGCCTGGTGCTCTCAGTGCATGATGATGCATGCGCTGTGGTGCCTCAGGGATCCTGTACCAGGAGGGAGGCCGCACATAGAGGCTGACCACACCCTCACCATCCGGGCAGGCGTGAGACACGTGCACCCTGGGGGCCACACTCCTCCTGAACATGCTGTCCACTCCACACCCGCAGGGAGAGCTACAAACAGGAAGATGGGCAGCGCCACATGCAGCCAGGATGCGGCCTGGCCATGAAGGCAGCACACAACTCTGAGATTCTCAGGGCTGGCACACAATCAATTCCTCCCTGGGACACACGTGTCTGCCTGATGAAAGCCCCGCACCCCTGCCCGGGTGGCCCTGAGCCAGCAGCACCCAGGCGTCTGCCAGCGGCCAGACATTCAGAAATGCGTGATGCACTGGCCCCACAGGGCTGCCTGGCCCCAGGCAGTGGGGGCCCGGGAGGAAGGAACAGGCGCCGGGCTGCGTGGAGGAGTCATCATGCACATAGTGACCAGACAGACAAACCCAGAGCCGGAAGGGACACTGGTGTCAGCCGGGGCCGGGGAGGAGGGCTTCCCATCGCTGGCCCCGTTTTCTTTCGGGTGACATGATGTCCAGCGAAGGGGGGCTGCACACAAAACCACTGACCCGAGCATGCTCAGAGGCCCAGGGAATCAGATTGCAGTGCAAATGGAAGGAGCAGGGCAGAGAACGGGCAGGTGGAAGGGGACCCGAGTGTCCCTCTGAGCTGTAGCCGCACTCAGGGCTGCTCCACGCCTCCTTGGGACGCCCCACAGCCCATTGCCTCCCTGCTCCAGGCAGTGGCCCTGTGTGCTCCTGCCAGGACAGGCCAGGCATGGCTGTCACTGGCCTGTCACTGGGCATCCCCCAAAACTACTTTTCAAAGGAAAGTTCTGAGTCCCCGAGACGCCCGCACCGCTGACTTCCACATGGGCAGTGCCGCCCCATCACCCTTTATTCTCTGGTTTGTAGCCTTCTTGCTTCTCTTCCTTTTAAATTTTTATTGAAATCTCTTTTTCCCCTAGAACAGTTTAATAAGATTCAATGAATTGAAATTCGATTCGCCACCTCCTGTATATTTCCTTCACAGAAGAGACTCACTGTCAATTAGGGGAGACAGAGACATCTCCACCTGGAGCCACACCTTTCGGGGGTTGGACTCTCGGCTGCTGGGACAGGACGCAGGCATGGTCAGGGGTCCTGGGCTTGGGCAGCTTGGGTGCCTGCCTTCCCCAGCCTGCTGTGACTCCTGCTGACCCGGCATCTATCCACCTTGTCATCCCCGGCAGCCGATCCCCTGGCAAGCCCAGGGCACAGCCAAGCATCTGGTCTCGCGCTGTCCCCAGGCCTGGGGAGGACACGGCCTTTCCCAGGGGACAGCGCTCACCCTCCTGGCCTTCACATCTGTAAGCTGACACATGAGCTGCTCTTTGTGAATAGTGTCAGAGCTACGCAAAACCTGAGGCAACAGAGCGCTCCTGGACTCTGCCCTGCAACCCTCAGCAGGACATTGGTGTGGGTCACTTGGGTGCACGGTCACAGCTCAGGGACTGACACCAGCACTGTGTGCTGCTGATGAAACCCAGCCTTCAGGATCTCACCCATTTCTACCCTGCACCGTCCAGGCGGGAAGGACAGCACCTCACCCTGAGCCTCAGTCTCCTCCGTCCTCTCCTGCCTGGGTCCTTTCTGCATTTGCATGGCCCCAGCAGGTTCAGGAACCCTGGCCAGAGTCCCCGCTGTCCCTTAGTTGCAGTTTGTCAGACATTGTCTCACCGTCAGCCTGGGCTGCAGGTTAGAGGACAGCAGAACTGCAGGTTCCTCTCACGCCACATCCACGTCCCTCTCCCTGGGGCCCTGGGCTGGAAGTTCTTTTGCCACCTGACACAGGTCGAGCCTGAAAGCACCCCGACTGGAGGGCACCACTCATCGCTAGAAGCTGGCCACTTACATAGTGCCCACCCTTGGCAGAAACAGCCACTGTTCTTTGAAAAGCTCTTTAAGACTCCCCAAACCAAGCAAGATGGCATATACCTGTAATTCTACACTCAGGGAGGCTGAGTCAGGAGGATCTCAAGTTCAAGCTCAGCCTGATAAATTTGGTGACTTAGCAGGACCCTGTCTCAAAAAAAAAAAGAAGAGGGGAGGG